GACTTACCTGGGATCCAGGGATCTGTTCTTAGTCCTCGTCCTCACAGGGGAAAAATCACTGGTCTTGGACTCGGGCCAGACAGAATACTTACAGAGATAATCCCAGGCAGGCGTACTGACGGTAGGCCTTATGCCCTTTCTGCCCTCTCACCCAAGTGCCTGTTACTGGTACTTTCACTCTATGGCGTTGCACCGTTAGGCTACTGCTGCCTCAGCGATCCAGCTCCCCCTGAAGCAAAAGTCTTACCGGGAAAAGAGATCCCGGGGCGCGCCTGACATTCGTTCCGGAGGAGCGGTCGTCTGGTCGTCAGTTAGTCCAGGCAAAGCCTTATCTAAGGCAGTCCCATCTGGGGTGCCAAAAACTGTTGAGCCCAGCTCAAGTCTGGGATCGTGCCCGGTATGCAAAGGCCAATAAGGATACCAGGGGTGAAAGTACAAAGAAGGTTTATTGCTAGCAATAAAAGGTGCAAGCGAAATAATTCACGTAACAAGCACCCCAGATCACTGTATCTTAAGCATCTTTTATACAGGAGTTTTTCAAGCCTTTGGAAGCGTGCTCGTTTGCTGATTGGTTATAAGTGAGTGACGCAAGAAGTTCTTTACTGAGCATGTCTCTATACCTGTGTTTTAGCCATGTATCTCATTTACATACATATGTGTTTCATTAGCATACTTCTTCCCCACCTAGGGGCGTGATTTTTAGTATTTTAATGAGCCCTTTAACCCAGTACTTTGTTTCTTCTTTTGTTTTCAAGCCCCCTCTATCTAGGACTGTCTCCTCCTTATCATTGCAGATGGGCATTCTTCACATAGCGTTCTCTTCTGCTTCGTCTTCGAGTAGAGGTTTCTAGGTCACTCCTTACAGACCCACAAGTGGACTGGAAGTGCTTCTGGTCCACTTCCGGGTCTGCTGCCAAGCGTCCTGGGGACACACCTGCACTCTTGTGGGACGCTCCATCCGCCCCAGCATCTCAGTATTCATGAACCATCTGGTGCCTTGTGGTATGTAGAAAAAACATTTAAAGCTGTGTCTATGTCCGAATCATTGAATCTCTCTGAATCTCTGAATTGATTTGGAGGGTTCTGATTCAACTCGGAAAGATTAAACGGTCTCCTGATTCGATTTGGATTTGGAGATTCGGCTGATGAATCTCCGCCAGATTGAATCAGTGACCAAAGATTTGCACAGCCCTACTTACTTTTTTAAAGTGAAATCAAGGAATTTTAAAGAAATATATTTTTCAAGAACTATATCATCTCTTCCTCAGAAGTGGATTGCTGATCCAAAGCACACTACAGAAAATTAAAATTGTCCCAATCTGTCCTGGATGAATATCTGTTTTCTAATTGAAGGCATGCTGAATTGGGTTTGTTTGTTTTTTTCCTGTGTACAAGTTGAGTGCTACAGCAATTAATAGATGAGTGCGGAACTGATAATGAATGGGTCTGTCTTTCGTTTTGTTCTGCAGGCATGCCTATCATTCTGTTTCAGCTCCTCCTGTATATCCTCCCAAAAACATAACTGATTTGAAACTCCTGACAGGAGCAACATCCACACACAGTTCCGATGCTGTCATCATCCACCCTGGAGCAATGCTTGCTATGCTGGATCTTCTAGCCTCTGTTGGATTGACTACACAGCCAGAAGTAAGCCAAAACCAGTAGTTTTTAATAGTTTCTAATGCATTTCTAAGGATGGAAGTGTGAGGTGGGCTCTAAATCTGGGAACTGGTAAAGGAATACTGTCTCTTGTGACTAAGCTGCTAGTTGAGATCTAATTTAGGAGCTAGTGAATTAGCAAAAACTTTAGCTGGGTTTAGCAACATTTTATTCACCTGGAGATGGAATTGTTTAGTTCCCAAGCAAAGTGCTGGTTTCACCCTAGGTGTCAAATGGCAGGTTGCTGTATCATGAGGTCATTTTGTGGCTGGCACTAATTGGCATCCTTACTACAAGAGCCTCCAGAGCTTAAAGGGATTCTGCAGTCTTTATCCTTCTCTTCAAGCCATCCCTGAAGATGGTTCTTTTTAAGTCAAGGTTGAAGGACCTTGGCTAACCAGTACTCAGTTGCTGCCCTTAACGTAACGTTGCTAGAGGATAAATAAGACTTCACTGTCCAAATGGTTGCACCTTTGAGCGACCTTTATTTTCAAGGATAGGAAAGAAGGAAAAACTCCCCTAATTATTAATATGGTTCTTGCTAGACTGATAGTTTTACTTGTGTTTTTAGATTTAGTATTATTTGGCACTAGTTAAATATATGTTGCTATAATAAAGGCTTGTGCTATTTCAAAACAGTTTTATCTGTCCTTATGTTATGCTTGTACTTGCAAAACTAATATGAGCAATATCATAGACTGGGAGAAGCATTACAGATAATTGCTTGCCCTTAAAAAATATATCTGGGTCCTAGGGTTTTTAATTTACTTTTTGACGAAATATCACAAAATAAGACAGTTGAGATCAGAATCTTCACAAGTGCTATGAGTAGGGAACTTCTTTAATCACAATCTCTCAATTTTTGCAGAAACTGCAATTACGGGCAGGTCCTGCGAAAAATCATAGAATCTGTTATTGGCAGGGTCCCTGGAGGGGTGGGGAAAAAAAAACCTCACTGAAAAAAAATGTTTGCTCCCTGTGCGGGGAGCTAGTATTCTTTGTGGCTGCTGCAGCCCAGCTGCACAGCCCATTGGAGGGGAAGACAGGGGAGTGAGGCTGCTGGCACGACAAAATGTCTGCTGACCCCACCCCTTGCCACTGATTGCCTGCAAGGGCTGTCCATCATACCACCCTGCCCCTTGCCACCAGTCAGCAGTGAGTGGCTGGGCTACATGATGGACAGCTTTCACAGTCAGTTACAAGAGGCAGGGCCACCGGGGCCCCCTGGCCAATAAGATGTGTGGGAGTGGGGGCTGGCATGCTCCACCTGGAAAAATGGCTGCTAGCCCTGTGGTCTGCCCATGAAATCAGCTGGCAGCCATCTCGAGTTCAGTAGACCCCTAGTTATGAAGTCTTGCTTTCTCCTGAAACATCCAGTGTCATAGATGGTTGGAGTCCTGGCAGGGTACTGAACTGAATAGTTAGTTAATACTGTTTGGCAATTTCTTTGTGATGGTTTCATTAAAAGTATCAGTGATAATTTTAATTAAACCTTTTAGAAAATATATATTTTATGCTTATGGTTCATTTGATTGAAAGGGCTTTATTTGACACTTTTGCTGACAATTACCTAAAATACATTTCAGTTGTGGTATCTTCCTCAGAGAACCTTATTTATCAGACTGAATCTTCAAAAGCTTTCAAGCTTTTCTCACTGTGATTTACGAATTAGAGAGAGAGAGAAAGAAGAAAAATGTCTCTCTAATGTTGATGAACCTGTAAACTTGTGATGTTCAGAATATTAGTAGTAGATTTATTGCATAAAATATGAAGTTTTAGGGAATGTTATGGAAGTGTAGCATAGGTCTGATAAGGATAAAACTTTTTAACAAGCCGATTGTACTTCTGAGTTTTTGCATTTCTATTTAAATTATAAGTTATAATCATCAGCTGTACTAGAGCAATTTTTTGGAAAAGAACAGGAATACTTCATAAGTTAAATCTTCTTTACACATTTTTAAAATAGCATAACAGGAAAATGTGTTAATGATGATGCATTCCTTTTTATATTACTGTTGCACATGTTTTTTTCCAGCGTGCCCTGGATCTTCAGTTTGCAGTGGCCAACATACTGCAGTCTCTGGTGCATACAGACAGAAACCAGCAAGTCATGTGTGAAGCTGGACTCCACGCAAGACTTTTACAGAGATGCAGTGCTGCTCTTGCTGATGAGGACCATTCATTGCACCCCCCACTCCAGAGAATGTTTGAAAGGCTGGCCTCTCAGGCACTGGAGCCAATGGTGTTGAGGTCGGGGAAAAAAATAATTATATTTAGATTATTGATGTGCGTATTGGTGGTACATGGACTTCCTTGGCTGGCTCCTTTTTGGGACTTCAATTTATTAGAAAAATATGAAAAAGAATAATTGATTGTATGTGAGAATTACCTTGTTGTATGTATAACCGTATTTTGAAAATGCAACCTTTTTTTTTCATTTTAAGATGTAATTAAAATATAGTACTTCCTTTTGGATTACTGTATTTACCTGGGTCCAAGATGGTTGTGAATTTACAACAACCCCCCAATAATTAGATTCTCTACATGGGAAAAATATAAATTTCTTATTTTCCATTTATAGAATGTAATTATTGAAGGAGCATCTTAAATTCCTCCCTTCCCCAGTCTCCATCTCCCACAGGCTGTGTCAGGGAAAGCAATGGCAGGGGACAAGTGGACCAGACCCCCACCCTTTGCTCCCATGCCTGTTTCCCCTACCACCTGCCCCGTGCCACTCCCCTGCTACCTGTACCTCCACACCATACCTCTCTCCCCACTGTTTACCTCTGGAGCAGTTCTGGCTTCAGGGGAGTCAGCAACAGCAGCCCCACCCCAGTCCAGCCAGGCAGAAAGAGTAGGGAATAGTTCTGGGCCTAGCTGAATCAGAGCTGAAGCCAGAGCCTGAGGTAAACAGCAGGGAAGCAGTTGTGCAGACTCCCTTGTGTGCTCCCCTACCCACTAAAGGTCTACCTCATGCACCCCCAAGCCAGAGCTGAGCCATCACCTGTCCTGGACTCAAATTCAGGACAAGGCCACTCCACGTTGTCTGAGAGAGAACTTTATCTTGGATTCAGGTAAATATGATATTTAAATTAAACTCTACCAAGAAACATGTATTTGCAGTTCCTTGCTTGATTGACAGCAAGAGAAAACTGGAAGTTTAAAAAATGTACAATTAATGGGTTCAAAAGAATGACCCTGCTATACAAGTGTCTGTGTAGACTTTCTGAAAATCACAAAATACCTTAAGCAAGGCAAGATGCAGTTCTCTCCTCTTTAACTTATACTTGACGGAGAAAGATGAGTCAGAGAAGAGAAATGTCTAGAATAGATCTTTAAGGCTTGTGGGTTCTTTCCCCAAATTGGGTAAAAGCTGTACTATAATGATAGTTTTTCATCTTAGTGAAAATAAATTTGTTGTACAGCAACATACAGGTTTCCAAGACAGGATTTGGTAGGCTTATGATGTTACCCTTATTTCTGACATTTCCTGCTGGTTTTAAAATGCATTGAAAGTGCATGAGCATGCCTATCTAGCAAGCAGTAAATGAGCAGTTGGCATGTGTATTATGAGAGGGGGAAAGAACAGCACTTAAAATGAAACAAGCTGCACTTGCAAATATTGAAAATTGCATGATGAACTAGATGGATTGCTATATTTGTAATGGCATTTTCCTGCTGAATAGCACATTGAAATCTGGCCCAGACTTACTGCCTTACTGTCTGAGAGTTGATCAGAAACTACTACAATGATTTCTGCATTTGTTGGTAGTCTCAGCAGTGGGATTAAGGGTTTAAGAAGGCATGGAGACTAAATGACCATCTCACCCCCTTGAGACTGCCCTCCAAATGACATTGGCACAGATTGGAAATGTAATGTTGAGAATTATTGCAGCAGAGCATCCTATGCTGTACCTTTCCAGAACAGGAACAGATGACTTCAGCCTTCAGAGCTAACATTCTAGTTCTTTGAATGAAGTATAATTTGATTTAAAGAAATTGGAGGAAGAATTTCCCAGATACTTAATAGACTTAAGGACTGATATATAGATACTATACACAGTATCTAATGTTATATAATACAACATTTTCTGTTCTGTACATAATACAACATTGTGGCCATCCAACAACATTTAATGATTCATTATAGAAAAAAGGTATAGATACCCTAGAAACCAAAATATGTGATTTGATTTCTCAGAAATGCAAAACTCTAGTTGTGGTAATCCATTAATTTATCAGTACTGTATACAGATATATGCAATAATTAAAAATAGAAATAGTGTTGAGTTAATATTTATTTGCTTTTAGAATTAATGTTTTAATTATATCATTTTGCAAGTTTAAATATATTCTAATTGACTCTAGGTTGTAACTCATTCTAGTCTTACAAATCAGAAAGCAAGTAAGCAACTTGACTTGAATAATTTTTGTCTCCTAACCAGGGAATTTTTACGTTTGGGAAATCCTTTGAATTGCGGAGCTTGGGACAAAAAATTGTTGAAACAGTATAGAGTACACAAGCCCAGCTCATTAAGTTATGAACCAGAAATAAGAAGTAAGTGTTTAAACATTAGAAATTTTTGTGGTGCTTCATGGGATCTGAAGACATCATTATCCTAAGACATGCTTGCTTTTTTTTTTTTTATGGTTGCTGGTTCCTTACAATGCAGTATTCATGTTTGGAGTAGTCTGTTTTCATCAGCAAGACTAATGGAAGAGTTAGTTACGTGTATGAATATCTGAAACTGTATTTAAAACTTTAAAATACTTCTTGGGAAGAATACAAAACTTTGGGAATAACTTCAGGTCCGTTGTGAGATTGAATCTTTTTTTTTTTTTCAGTTTACAAAAGAAACCTGAGTGTATCACAATATGGGCATGAGGTAGTCTTTCAGCTGAAAATGAATTAATGGAAGGATGCCGTTGTGGCTAAGGCACTGAACAGGAATTGATGAGACCTAGGTTCAATTTCCAGCTCTTTTGTGTTCTTTGATTTCTCTGCCTTAGTTCAGCGAGGATAATACTTCTTATCTTTAGAGGAGCTGTTGAGATGCTCTCTTTATTAATGAATAACGAGCACTAAAATATTACAGTGAAAGTAGCATTTTAAAAGTCTGAATACCATGTCTGTTAAAATCCAAGACAAGATTTTTTACCCCATTCAACATGGGGTTGGGGGAGGGGGAGCTTGGATTTGAATTCAGTTGTGGGAGGGAGAGACAGGCAGTAGGGGTGCACAAAAGGGCTCTACTCAGTTTGGATTCGGCCTGACCTGGGGGCAGTGATTTGATTTGTTGATTCGGATAACTGGCCCCAATTCGATTTGGCCAAATTTGAATCTGAAGATTTGATGCTGATTCGGAGAATCAGCAATTTGGACATAAACACAGCTTTAAATGTTTTTGCTACATACCTTGAGGTACCAGAACTGCTTGTGAACACTGCGATGCTGGGGTGAATGGAGCGTCCCAAAGGAGTGCAGGGGTGGGGAGAGGGGCCCCTGCATGCTCGGTGGCGAACCTGGAAGTGGGCCGGAAGTACTTCCGTTCCATTTCTGGGTCTGCTGGGGAGCTTGGCTATTGGCTGCGGGCAGACCCTGGGTGCCCCACCAGACCCAGGAGGCACCAGTTGCCGAGCCGGGGGGGGACCCCCCATGCACTCTCTAGTGGACCCAGAAGTGCACTGCAAGAGCTTCTGGTCCACTTCTGGATCTGCTTCCAAGTGCGCTCTGGAGCCCCCTGCGCTCTTGTGGGATGCTCCATGTGCCCCAGCATTGCAGCACCCATAAGCTACTTGCTACCTAGAGGTAGATAGAAAAAACATTTAAAGCTGTGTCTATATCTGAATCGCCAAATCTTTCCACATAGATTTGGAGGGTTCCAATTCAATTCAGAGAGATTAAGGGGTTCTCTGATTTGATTCAGAGATTCAGCCACCACATCGGGCCAAATCTCCGCCGATTTGAATCGGGGACCGAAGCTTTGCACAGCCCTAGCAGGTAGCAGTTGAGGCTTTGACTCTGGCCTCAAACTGAGTTTGGGGTCAGAGCCACAGCCCTTTTTCCGCCCCCCCACACCCCTGCCACCTGCACCCCACACTGCTGCCTGCCTCCTCATTGCCACTTGCCCTCCATTGAGGCTTCTTTCCAGCCCCACTCTACCTGCCCCCTGTCACTGCTTACCCTGCTGTAGAGGGGGGGAGGGGGGAACAAATTTAAGATGTTCTCCAATAATCAGATTCCATATATGGAAACTTATGGAAAATGTATACATTTCTTATATATAGAATCTAATTTTTGAGGGTTTTCCCTTAAATTCATAGTCATCTTGGATTTAGCTAAATATGGTAAATGAGGAATTAAAAAAATGCCTCCTTTTGCCAATATCTCTGCTTTGTTTTTTTCTTGGCTTCTACTGTAGATAGTATGGTCACATCAATGGAGGGTTTGAGTTCTGACAGCATGTTCAGTTTGCATGAAGATAACCATTATCGGATAAGTAGGAGCCTGCTCAAGCCAGCAGAAGGAAGCACAGTACCCCTGACAAGGGTGAAATGTTTGGTTTCCATGACAACTCCACATGATATCAGACTTCACGGATCATCAGTTACCCCTGCGTTTATTGAATTTGACACATCTCTTGAAGGATTTGGGTAAGGTCTCGCAAAGCTTTTAAACAGTGTATTTCAAAAAGTAATGTCTTACTCCTTTCTTCTTTAAAAGAAATGTTTGTAATTTTAATGAACAATTTGAAAAACAAATGATTGAGCTACAGAAAGCAGCATGCTAAATGCTTTCTGGCAAAGGATAGTGCTGAATTCAGCTAATGGATTCAAACCATTGCTTGTTTATAAAATTGTGGATGCTGTTAATAATACTACTTCAGTAATGACCTTATGTGTGTGCTGTGAGCTCTTTTCAAATAAAAAGAACAAAGACATAGCAGTACAAAGGCACTAACTGCCAGGATTCAAACGAAATACTGGGTCTCTAAAATGATCTTTCACTTGCCTAAAATCTGGAGAGATTCAGTGCCGAATCTTGTAATGAAGAATTATTAGGAAAGTAGAAATAGAACTAAAATTATTTTGAAGCTGTGACTTATTTTAAAAAGAGCTTGAATTAGGAAACAAAGATCACTGTGGAACAACTAGGTAACAGTAATTAGGGCATGTGGTCCTGTCTTAAACTTTTCTGTGTCCATATGCAAGTGTTTTCACATTTTGTCTCCTCTCCCACATGATCAGTGAGGGTTGTGTAATGTATAAATGAGGACTTGGAAGGTTATGGCATTAAGCTCTGGAGTTCTCCAAGTAAAATATTTCCCCTAGGTTCTTTTTAAATGCTGGTAAAAGAACTTCAAAATTTGAATTTTTTACCAATGGTGAAAACCCAGACCTCACCACTAGAACTACTTTGAATGATTTCAGGTTGTTACTAATGAAAGTATCCATTACTACTGCTTTTACAGTGGGCAGGTTCATGAAATCCAGACAGCTGTTAGTGAGAACAATGTTAGTTAAATTAAGGTTTACGGTGTTGTCCATACAATCTCAAGTCAGACAGTGGTGGATAGTTATTCAAATAAAACCCATGTCAACATTTTTTTAAGTGAAATTCTGTTTGTGCAAAAGCTTGCTAAAAAGGTTTCTGGTAACTTGAGCAAGCAAGAGTGTTAATTACCAATTCCAGAGAAGCCCAAGAAGGACTACAAGCCTACAAGATGGGTAGATCCTTCACCATTCATAGATGCTAGGGTCAGAAGGCACCTCAACAGATCATTGAGTCCGACCCCCTGCCTGGACAG